AAGCCAAGTTCTGAAAGACTTACACACACGGAGGCACTTGACCACATTGAGATTCACGGAAATTGTAAAAAAAATAGACTAGGTACTTTAATTTATGATTCATATAATTTATGCAACTGTCAAAATAAAAATTTAAGTAAACAAATAGTTAGTTATTTTAAATCGTGTAAGTTAGCTTGTACAAAGTTATCGCAGAATGATAAATGTGAAACGTCGAACGATATCTTAGATTTGGTTGAGTATATTCATCATAATTTTTTACAGATTTACCATAAAGAGAAAATTAGTAAGCCATGGCGAAGAAGATGATGAATGGTGTGGTTTGGTTGTTTAGTTGCCCGCAGTTGGCGGACAACTAAACGAACGGGTATGTACACGCGCTCTCGTTTTCATCGCGAGACTTACGAGACCCTTTGACGTAAGAGCGAACGAGGGCCGCAAGACGCTACGAGGGCACCATGTACATACTCGTACTCGGTCTCGTGGTGTCTCGACGAGCATGTACTGCCGCTGTAACATCTTTCTACTCGCTTTCTCGCAGTCCGTGGGAGTGATTTCGTGAAAAGTTACGGAAGTGTGTAACAAGACGCCGGGGAAGCGCGCTATTTGATTTGACCAATGAGCATTAAACTAAATTAATAAATGTATTTACTGTTGATATTTACTGTTGATGTGTACCCCTCAAGCGCCATAAAAAGCCCGTGCAGTCGCATGCGCCCGGCAAATTCCGAGCGGTCGCAAGCGACCGCACCCACCCACAGCACTTACAACCATTAAAACTTATATTTAGAAACTACTTTTCTGTGAAGAAGTTTAGCATTATAAAATCTATACAAATTTCTCTATCTTGTGGTGTAAACTAAGTGAGGTTTTACTTAATTACAAAAAGATTTTATTGAATTTTGATAACAAAAAAAAAATACCAAGCGAATGTCGGCAGCGTGAAAATCACAAGTATTTCAATATATATTACTCGAAATTATTTACGTAAAAAGAAATAAATTATATTCACACAAAAACTTTCCTTACAATTTTATAGTAAAACACTACTAAAACACTAATACTAGAAAAATCCAAAAATCAACACAATAACATTCACGCGAAAATAAACGTAGATTATAAATAAATATTCATAGAATAACAGTTTTTTATTGCACTAGAGGATAGAGTATTTCATATTGATTATATAATTCTAAACTTCTTCATATAAAAGTAGTCTATATATAAGTTTTTATGGGTTAACGTGCTGTGGGTGGGTGCGACCTCATGAGACCGCTAGGGATTTGACGGAATATGGCCACGGTCTCATGAGACCGCTTGGGGGTTGAGAGGTTAAGTATCTGAGAAAAGTGCAGATCACATTGATAAAAAATTCAAGTAAGTAAAAATGAATAAGTATTCAAATAAATACTTCAGTATTTAGCTTTTACACATTTTGAGATTAATTTCTGTCTGCTCAATTGATATTTTTAATTTAATTTACAAAAAAAAAAAAAATTTGGATATAATATTAATGTTGCTTATTACCAAAGTGAGATGTCAGATGTTATAGATCATATGCGACTACTTAATTTTAGATTTATTTCTTTAACCTTTTTGAACGAAAACACATTAAATCTATTATATCATAATATTACGAGTATATATGTGGGTGGACTAAGTGATTAATAAGGGCATTATTTATATTGCCCGGGCTATATGAGTATTGACAAGTCAAATATTGCTATGGAATAAATAGTAGTAGTAGTATTCCTTTCTTTGCCTTACAAAGAAGAAATACCCTTTTATTTATCTATATACTTTGTTTTAGAATTATCTTGACGAGGGTAACTAGCAATGAAATAATGTAATGCGAGACTGGTGGTATTTTTAACGGCAGTAAATGGTTTTTGAAAACGCAACACATGCCTATTTCTTTATATATTTTTTACGTTTTCAGAAAATACCAGAAAAACAATCTCAACGAAATCTGTTGCGCTATTTGGGGGCACTAGAAGCATTCGAACGATCAAGCCTCAACAAAATGTCCAACACAGGTACAAAATTGTCTAAAAATTTCTACGATTGTAAGAGGTTTTAAAATCCTAATTTTCAACATAAATCAGTGCCGCTGTATTGGATCGTTATCTACTTTAACTTTTTCGCTTTACCATCATACACCTTCTTCGTTCTATTTTCTTCGGTCTCACCTGTTGTAGGAAGGATTTACATTAGTTAGATATTTTGCATCTTTGACGTTGGTTTTCGTCGCCGGTCTGCGTATTTTACTTCTGGCGTTAACTAGATGGGTATATCGCCATGCTCCCAAAGCCATTAATTGTTATAAATATATATTATATATATATATATATATATATATATATATATATATATATATATTTATATAACTTTGGCTCTAGAAATTAGCAGTAACCAATAAATATGAAAAAAAAACAATCGAAAATTGTAGGTACCTATTTTTCAGTTGGAATGCCTAGTCCATTAAATCTGACAGCTGTCAAAAGGTATTTGTTAGGAATGTGGTCTGAAATAGAACCCAGTATACTGGCCATTGCAAATGGCGTCATAAATCGACGCTATACTGGTGATTCGTTTCAAAACATTGGTCGGTGACAACAATTACATCATACATTTGCGCCATATTGGAAAAGTGTTGGCGATCATTTTGTCATTTTGTGCTTGGAAAGTTATTATATCCTGTTTAAATTCATTTGTAAAGAATGGAGATACCAGCAATAATTCTATAATTTTTTGTATTTGAATAAATAAAAACAAATTCTGGCATGCTTCATTCAGTGTACACACAATTAAAAATTGTTTTAATATGGCGGGATATCCGACACAATATGGCGGCGGCACGCCAGTATAATATGGCATCAATAAAGGACGTCATTTGCATTCGCCATTATACTGGAAACATTTCGGAACATATCCTAGATTTGGTGTAGTATAATAATGGTAATTATTATTGGCGCGAGCTGGCGTGTGCATGTGTGGTGTGTACGTGTGCGTATAAGCGCGCGCGCGCGTGTGTGTGTATATGCGTGCGAGCGTGCGTGTGCGCGTGTATGCTTTCGTGCGCTTGCGTGTGTTCGTGGTTCTTGGTATATATTTCATATATAAGTTATGTTTCATTAAAAAAAAACAGCCTCACCCTAGACTATATGAAATACAGGTTGTTATTGTTTTTTTAAAATCTCTACCATATACGATACTTAAATTACGTATCAAAAAGCCATTTATTATTTTTATTGACGTGATCATTAATTTACCTTTCTATCGACTATGCTATTCCAGTTGATACTGAGGGTAATATGCAGACAGACGACACCATGGCGCATATAGGACGGGTTACGACTTCTCTGCGTAAGTATCAAAATTTATACAAATAAATAAAATGGAAGTGTCTGTAATATCAAAATTACAGATTTTTACTAAAGTCCAATCGCGGAGCACGAAGAATTTCGTACATTGAACTGTCATTACCTGTCTCTGTCACTCCCGCGTAAATACAATGAGTCTCGCTCGCACAGATGCAATGGCCGCCGTCCTCAGGGATTGTAAACCTTTTACTGGAGACTATAAGGTTTGTTCTTGTTTGCATAATGTGGTTTTGGTTGGCCTTTAGTCACGACAAAAAGTCCTTGGTTTGCTTGACCTTGACGTAATTAATAATGTTTAAATAACGAACGACATTCCATTTTGGGATGCGTTAGTGATCGCTCGGTTTTCGGACACAGTTATTTACCTATTCTGAGTTTGTTGTTGTTTGTTAGTTTTTGTTATATTGTTTTAATCGTTAAGTGGTTTTGTTAATTTGTTATGTTTTATTCACTCTTTTAAAATGGAACCAGCGCCGTCTACCTCGCGTCCATTCAAGGAGTTTGTTTCTCCGCGGAAGAAAAGAAAAATGTCACACTTTAGTGTACCTGAGAAGGTAATGATTATTAACGTGTTTAAATACGTTAAAGAATCCTGGCCTGCTGATAAATATCCTTCAAAAAAAGATATGAAGGACAAAACAGCCGATATCTTAGGCATTTCGAAATAGGCCATATATCGTATCTTAAAAGGATATACCGACACAGATACCGTCAAGCCAGCTGCTTCACCGAAAAAACGACTCTCATTAATTGAAAAGATTTATGGGTTCGATAAATCGTGCATTAGACGAATAGTGCACAGCTTTTATTTAAAAGGAGAGTTACCTACAGCAAAAAAGGTGCTACATATCATTAATACAGACGAATCCTTACCAAACATGGGCTAGACATCGTCGAATAAATTACTGAAACATTTGAAGTTTAAGTATGTCAAACGATGGAGAAATAACGGGTTAATCGACAGAGGTGACAGCATTGTGGCGTATCAAATATTTGAAAAATATGAAAACTTACCGACAGCAACAACGACCAATATACGAGGGTGGATTGAAAAGTACTCGGCCTAACCAAGAAAATAAACACATACTAAATCAGTTATATTTTTATTTTTCTACATAATCACCATCAAGTTCAATACAGTTTTGCCACCTCCCCTTCCAAGCATTTAGACCGTTGAAAAAAAAATGATTCTTCCTTAGAGTCAAAATATGCGTCTACAGCTGCTTTGACCTCGTCGTTTGTCGAAAATCTTTGACCTCCCAAGTGCTTTTTTAGGTTAGGGAACAGAAAGAAGTCTCATGGTGCCAGATCAGGTGAATACGGCGGATGCGGTAACAGTTCAAAGCCACAGTTGTGAATTTCAGCCATTGACTGTACTGGCGTGTGAACATGGGCGTTATCTTGATGAAACAGGGCTTTTCTTCTGAGCATTCCTCGACGTTTTTCTTTTATTTCCTCTCGTAAACGACGTAGTAAGGTGCAGTAGTAATCAGAGTTTATAGTCTAACCCCTTTCAAGATAATCAATCATAATCACACCTTTCGAGTCCTAGAATACTGAAGCCATCACCTTATTTGCCGACAAAATCGACTTAGCCTTTAGGGGGTGGTGGTGGTCTTCTCCACTGTTTTGATTGTTGTTTTGTTTCCGGTGTACAGTAATGAACCCATGTTTCGTCCATAGTAACAAAACGATTCAAAAAATCATCTGCATCGGCTTCAAATAACTCCAAACAGTCGCGTGAAATAGTCAATCGCGTCCTTTTTTGTTCAACTGAAAGCAGTAGCGGAACCCACCTCGCAGACACCTTGTGGAAACCCAACTCGTTGACAATGATGTTTTGAGTTCGTTCATAAGAGATGCCTATAATCTCGGCTATCTCTCTAATTTTTAATCTGCGGTCTCCCATTATTAAATCAAGTACTTTTTTAATATTTTCGTCAGTAGTTGACGTCGAAGGTCTTCCAGAGCGGGGTTCATCTTTCACACTCTCTCTACCACGCTTAAATTCTGCTATCCATTTTTTGACGGATGAATATGACAGAACACAATCGCCTAATGTACTGACCATGTCATCATGGATGGCTTTTGATGATAGCCCCTTCTTATGGAGGTACTTAATGACGGCACGCTGCTCGATTTGCTCCATTCGCGGAAATTATGTCAGATTACTTTGTTAACCTGTTAGCTCGCGAGGCTCGCGAGGCCACGCGTAATATGACACTCCCGTTCGCTCGCGACCTTTTTGGCGGGAAAATTTGCAAATTAGCAAATTTTTTGCTATATTGCAAATTTTGCTATATTTTCACTTTGAGACAATATTTATGGATAAAACTTACAGGAATTCTTGTTGAATGTATAAACTATTGAATAAAATTATTTTGGTTGTTAGAAATTATAATAAAATTCATAAATTACCCTTTATAGCATAAGTAGTAGTATATACTTCACTTTTAGTGCCAAAATTACTACTAATTTGAATTCTACACTTTTGTTTTTGGAGAAATTTATATGAAAATGTTTGGAAACATGTATATTTTTATGTTTTATGTGTTTCCATTCGTTACTCATACCAAAATATTAAAATATTATAAAAATTAAAAAAAAAAAATAATATTTTATCTGTATGACATTTCGAACAATATTTCTAAAATATGTTTGTGTGAATTTGAAATAAATACAACGTCATGTTATTTGAAATATATATGAAAACTTTTTTTACTTACATTTTACACTAAAAATAAATGAGAATTTGAAAAATAACACATTTATAACTCACCTGCCAAAACGGGCTTTCCGGAATTTGAAGTACTTTTGGCAATTTACTTTTCACTTTTTATACCACAAATTACATATCTACGTGTTTACTATATTACAAGGAATATAAAAAAGTATAATACTTTCGTTTTTAGTCCAGACACAAATATAAAATTCGATAAAAAAAGATGGAGCACCTTCAACAAAGTGACACGTGGAACGCCGGAAGTTCAGAGTGATTTTTTTTTTTTTCTAAGAAACATTGCCAGGTTATGGTTTAAAATAAAAGAGCATATCTTTGTCTTTGATACTATTATCTATTGCATAGTGTCTTTGGTTTTGTTTTAATTAAAAAAATTATTTTTCAAAGGGTAGTACTTGTGGTACACATGTGTATCTTGATCGAGCGAGCGTACGATGTTTATGTTTGGTACACATGTGTATGCTAATCGAGTCTACAGGTTAATAAATTTATAAAATCACAACTAATTATCGCACACGTTTCGAACTTCACACAATGAACTAGTCTGAACTGAACTAAATAATGTGGGTAGATTTGATTTTTAGAATTGAATGGATCTGTGTTAGGCCGAGTACTTTTCAATCCACCCTCGTATTACTTGGATGAAACTTGGGTGAATGCGGGTAAGACTTATTTTTATTACTTTCTAACTGGCTTAAATCTATACTAAAATTATGAATGTGAAAGTAACACTATCTGTCACCTTTACACGCCTAAACGGCTATTAACTGTTTAAACCTTTGATTAGTTTATTCATTTACTTTTCAGGGCACACTGTTGGCAAGGTTTGGGAAGACACTATAGTGCAGTCACGAAACAAGCATTTTTGGAGGGTTTGTCGACGGATGCCAAGAATCCTACTTCCAAAGGCAACCGGCTAATTATTTTACATATAGGAGGTGAACAAGGAATCGTGCCAGAATCGGAATTGGTGTTTGAATGCAAAGGTACAGTACAGGCGATTATCACGAATCGATGAATGCAGCCAACTTCGAACATTGGTTTCAAGCAATGCTACCGAGACTTGAGCCAAACGCAGTGGTTGTCATGGATAATGCCAACGCCAGGAAAAAATCCCAGTTACTAGTTGGAAAAAAATAGATATTCAAGAATGGCTTTCATCAAAGCAAATTTCTTTTCAGGCAAAGGAAACAAAAGTGCAGCTCTTGAAAAAGGTGAAAATGTCAAGATTCAGTACCAATCGTACGTGTTCGATGAGCTGGCAAAAGCAGTTGCTGTGGAGGTATTGAGATTACCTCCGTACCATTGCGATTTGAATCCCATCGAACTAGTGTGGGCAGACGTCAAGGAGTACGTGGCCCGCAAAAATACAACATTTAAGATGGCAGATGTTAAAAAGCTGCTCCAGGAGGCTTTAGGCAACATTACGAATCGAAATTAGCTAGACTAGATGATAATGTAGACAAAACTGTTGTTTCTTTTGTGATAAATGTGACAGGCGAGACATCTTCGGAAAGCAGTTACTCCGATACAGAGGAATCGGATTTTGATTTTTGATTTTTTTTTCTGCCGAATTAGTAGATACTTGTCTAGATTTTTTATTACTTGTAATATAAAATCTAAATAAATAATTTATATGTCGCGTCAAAGGTGTTTTCTTCACGCTCCGACATGGTTTTATGTAAATGTGGGCACACGAACGAAAGATGATTTAAATCAAAAATAACTTTATTTAGACTAGTGGTTGTACACGAGAAACAAACGCGTGCGTCGGTAGCGAGCGTCCGCTCCGGCTGTCCGAACTCAACTGCCACAACACTCGGTCCCTTCTCTAGCCCTCGCTGCATCCCCTCTACCGACGATCGTGTCCAAGCGGTAGGGCGCGCTTGCGTTTCCGGTTATTGATTCGCAAAGCTAATTGTCAGATGGCGCTGCTTGTAGCACTATGGCGCCATCAATCCACGACACGGCCATCCCTGACTAGCACCCGTCCTCGGGTGCAGTGCCTGTGGACAAAATATGCTCAGAGAATAACTTAGCTCGGCTATCCTGCCAACGAAAACGAGGTTGATTCCAGATGGTACTTTATTTCTCCTAAATCTAAGTACAGTAATCAACTGCCATGATTGACAAAGCCCTATTATTAGGGCTTCTTACACAGTGCTTCTTACACAGTGCTTCCTGCACTACATGATTTATTGTGAAAGGCCCGATCAACAAGTTCCAACACAGCAATTCTGACA